GAAAATGTAACTGAAATGAACCGGAGAGAAAGTTTACTCGCCTAATTCTGGCTAACCCTTGCCTTTTACTACTGACTGACATGAAAATATTGCGTTTCTTGACGTTGCTGTCTGAGGGGTTGCCATCAACCCCCGAGTGACAGACCTAATATTAAGGAATGTTTCATTTTCTTAGATTGCTTTAGTTTCCTGATTATTGTCGGTTATTAGCCCCCGATCGAAAATAGTGACATACAAAAACAAGGGATTATTATTACACTTCTTTATTTCGCCTTCTTTCCTAAATTATACTATTGTGCATCTAATCTCAGAAAAAAAATGCTACTGGCAACTCACTAATTCGCTGAGTATCTCTTATTCTAATCAACCGACGTTTAATACTTGTTTTGTAGTGTCAAAGTTTATATACTACATGCCTCTCTTTCTATTGGAATTTGCTGCCTTAAGTATTCATCATAATGTTGTTCATCAAAAGAGGTTTGACGAATCGGCGTGTTCCAGAATCTAGGGTGAGTTGCCAGTTTTTGTTTTTGTTTTTATTTCTCGTAGGAAAGAGACTAAAAACGGAGATCCCAGTGCAATTTATCTTTTTCATTTTACGTACATAAAAATAATAATATGATAAATTAATAGATGGATAAATAAATACATATAATACATAAAGATAAGGAAGAACAGAACAGAACGAAAACCCAAAGACTAACTCGTTAAATTACGCCATTGTGTTTTGAATGTTGGCTGATTTCGCCTGCGTTGCCTGAGCCTCCTCTCTCTCCCTCCCATGGGTCCCATTAGATTAGGAATCACAGACTTCCGCGAGGGGGTCCGAGAAGAAAACCTCATTTATGATGGTCGCCGATTGCATGTTCATAAGAGGAATATTTGTAGACGAGAAATTTTAGGGGTTGGGTGGGGTGGGGGGGGGGGGGGGGGTTAAATCCTGGAAATTTCGCCCAGGAATTGTCGAAATAATGAGGTACATTTTCCAGCTTTTTGGGTTGTGGGGAGGGGGGGAGGGGGTAAGGGAGGGATGGATAGCATGGGTGTGATGCAAAGAGTGTAGATAGAGAGGAGAGGAAGAAAATCGGAGGAGAAAGATAGGGGGAGAGAACTAGGTTGAGTGATGTAGATGGGAAAGAGGAAGAGGAGAAACAAGAAAGAGAGAGCAAGTTTGAGTGATGAAGAAAGAAAAGAAGAGAATGAAAGGAGAAACAAGGAGGAGAGAAAAAGGTTGAGTGATGAAGACGGGAAAGAAGGGGATGAGAGAAGATTCAAGAATGAGAGAACAAGGTTGAGTGATGAAGGTGGAAACAGGAAGAAAATGAGAAAGAATAAGACATTCTTTCATAAATGGGTAAAGCAGAAGGAAATGGAAGCTTGTCACAGAATGATTTCGAGGAATTACATTGAGTAATTACGAGAGAGAATGAGATTAATTCTTTTTAAGCTTGGGAATTCCAGACAGAAGATTGGGATATAGTGTGGACATAGCATTAAGAAAAAAATGCGTCTTTTGTAGTCTTTTCGAAATCTGGAGAAAGAGGAGGCTTAATTTTCCAGACAAATGTAAAATTATGAACGAGGAAAGCTTTAAGGAGAGGCTTTTAATGTGTGTGTGGTGTGGTGTGTGTGTGTGTGTGAGTGTGTGAGTGCATGTGTATGTCTTTTATCGAATAGAAGTAACAAGAATCCATGTACGTTAAAAGGGAGTAATATCCTGAACACACATACACACACACCATACAGATAGACGAAATAGATACACACCCGCACGCCCTGGTAAAATAAATATAAATAAATAATAAATAAATAAAACTCATACCCATTACCAAAACTACCCACACATATCCACCCGGAAGTCTCAATAAACCCGCATCACATCAGAAGAAACAGACCGGATCCTTTGTGCCTGTGTGGATCCACGGACAATGGTTAACGCTCTCACCTCTCCTCAACCACATATATTGTGCTCAGAGCTTGCTATTCATTCAACCCGAGTGAGGTGCAATAGCTGGCTCCCCCTCTGCCCTCTCCCTCCCTCCTCCCCTCCTCCTCCTGTGGCTACACCCCCTACTCATTCTTCTCCCCTCCCCTCCTCCTCCTCCTCCTCCCCTCTCCTCCCTCCTCTACACCCCTACAATTCCTTCTCCTCCTCCTCCTACCTCCTCCTCCATCCTACCTTCCTTCTCCCCTCCTCTACCTCCCTACCCTTCTTCCTCCTCCTCCTCCTTCCTCCTCCTCCAGCCTATCCTCCTCCCTACACCCCTACCCATTCCTTCTCCCTCCATTCCTCCTCCTCCTCCTCCCTACACCCCCTACACATTCCTTCTCCCCTCCCTCTCCTCCTCCTCCTCCTCCTCCTACTCCTCATACACCCCCTACACTTCCTGTGGCTACACCCTCCCTACCCATCCCTGCTCCCATCGTTGGTATACCACCTCTCCTATCCTTCCCCTATTGTTACACCCCTCTCCTCCTCTCCCTGCTGCTCCACCCCCCC